CCTCCCCCACGTCCGAATATCGATGACGCGTACGTCAAGCGTTAAGATTTGTGCCGCAACTGTTGACAGACCACTGGACGGACGGAACGCACGGACCGGCGGACCGCACGGACGAGTCATGCGAATTCTACAAGCCCTGGCATCTGACTAGTCTAGATTGAGCTAAAAAATGCAAAACTGTAACTGTCAGCGTTGTTTGCACCAGACAGAATGCACCAGGAACGACATTATACCCACATACTATACTATTTTAAACAAAGTATTACCCAGTAATAATAGATGATTTGTTTAGCTGTAGCCGTAGGCCGGCGTTAAAACAAAACAGTGAATCGCCCGAGATGCTGTAGTGGTACCTACTGCCAACTAAGCTACTACCTAGTATGTGCCAAAATGAAAACTAAGGAAGTAGGAGTAGGTAGGTAGGATACGTATTAGCACGCTTGTGCGTAGATACAATAATTTTTACCCAAACACAGCTAGGATAGGGTGGTTGTTTGTAAGTAGGTAGGTACAGGCGTACACAGGATAAGGTAACCACCCAAGTGGCCTATCCTGGTGTTTGGGTTACATTAACGCTTGCGAGGTAGGGCCCGTACCGTATATAACGCTTGCGTAAGAGCTGTAAACGCGCAAACAACAACAACCTAACCAAAAATTTTAACTTGCAATCATTGCAAACTATTACATCTTCTGCCTCCATTTGAAGTGCATGCCCCTTAGCAAAAGTCATTCAGCATATTTAATAAAAAAATAATCTATCGTTGGTTTGCTACTTTAAACTTGAATCTGTTTATGAACCGTCATTTATGCTTGTGTATTATCAGCAACCAGTCAGTATCTACGCCATTCTAGCTTCTGCTGGCTCCTTAATGGGCGCTGTGTGTCTTTTTAATGGACGTCACACGCCTAGGTTTAGACGGCACTGGATTCTTGTTGGCGCTAAAGTTGGCGCGCAAAAGTTTCACTCGCTGCTAAACAATGCTTCGTTTCGTGATATAGACGACCCTGTATCGTAATGAAATGTTTTATCCGCCCTCGTAAGGTATCTAAGCAGAAGCACCAGTGCCAAAGTGGTGAAGATTTTAAACGTAGCGAGAAGAAACGACGCCGCACAGTCTAATAGCCGCACTTGATGAATCGCGAAGGATAAGGCGGGACCATTTACTGTTTAGGTTCAAGAGAGATAGGAGACATGGGTCCGCAATAATATCCAATGTCATTTACGATCAATATAAATATAATATTATATCAAGTATAAATACTAAGTCAGGTTAGGGTTATGGTTAAGGGTTAATTGTTAGGTGTTGGGGTAGAAGTTAGGGTTAGGGCTTAGCTCCAAGAAACGGTGATTGCTAGGTTTGAATACCCGTTTCAAATCCGTGGCTGCAGCTAACACGTAGTTGCAGCTCATATAATTACAAGTATCGCCAAGAACAGCCACCACATGTCTGAGTATACCAAATGAATCAGCTGTAACGTCCACGTTCTTGTAACCATCAGTGCGCTACGAGTATGCGCTGGGTTACTATACGGAGTACAGCCGATTTTATGTGTAGCGTATGGCGAGCCAGGAATTTACGAATTCGCCGCCATGTTTGCTATCATTTCCGACTGTGACTAAAATCCGCAATGGATCGAACAAGGACAATTAAACGATCTGCGGGTCGGTCATGTAGCAACCGTACATCCAGACGAACCATGTCATCTAAGTTTGTGGTGTTTACAAATGCCCAGAATTCTGAACAGTCGATTTCACGTTGCTTTGGTGTGTAATTGCTCCTTGAGACCATCCGTACTATTTCTGTAGGTATTTTCTAGGGCAATTCTATTCCGTTTCGGGTTTCGCTGTGCCTTGGCTAAAACTGGCAGGTTAAACTGATTTGAAAGTTTGATATGCTGTGATAATTAGCAGATTATACGTGCGTGATAAAGAATTACTAGTTTAGAAGCAGAGCAACTGCCTAGGTTAAAGACGTTCTCATATTGTAACAAGGCAAGTCAAAGGTGGTAATGGATATAGTTGTTATTTGAGATAAAAAATACAGTTATTCATCTAGATCTGCAGAAGGATGATAGGTTTTTGATATGGAAGGGTTCCAGGCTGTATAGACAACCTCGTCGCACGCCCTGCGTCGGGTGGGCTAGGGTTAGTTAAAATTAGGGTTTGGCTTAGGCCGCACAAATTGGTTTTATTGGGGATCCCAATGTTTCTCTTCTTCGCTTGGGCCCCATATTTATTTAATTTATTGCAAGTGTTAACCGACCGGACCACGGTTTCGTGGTTTCGAGAGTCTTGAAAACCTAAAACAACCGGCTCTCTTTCCTGATTGGTCGTTTCCGAATAACAGGACAAATTATAATAGGAACGAATGCTTTAATGGCACAAAACATAAGGAAATTATTAATCGAACATAAGAAACAACTTTCAAAAGAAGTTCCACTACAAGAACAAATAAATGCAGAAACAAGAAAAATACAAGCAAATACACAAAGCAGAGAAAAAAAAAAGAGTGCGCTATATGCCTCGGCAGCCGGCATAGTATGCTGACGGTCTGCGGGCACGCGTCCTTCGGATTTCCTAAATCAGGCGGCTCTGACTAAGCGGTGCCGCGGTGCCAAATGGCCACCTGAACGGCGTGGCGCCACCTGAAACTGTCGGGTTGGTGCCCGCCTGGCACCATCAAAATAGGCCGTGGCTTACGGCGACCGCGGACGAGAGGCCGCTAGGTACTACGCGGTGGCTGACATCCAATCTCACAGCAGAGATCTCATGCGACACGTACACGCTGATTGGGCAACGGAGGACGCTTCTGACTGAATACCGTGTGTATGTGTTGTGGACGTGCTTGTGCGACTCGTGTGGCAAGTGTGTACGTGTGTGTGTGTGTGTGTGTGTGTGTGTGTGCGTGCGTGGCGTGCGTGCGTGCAGTGCGTGCGTGCGTGCGTGGTGGCGTGCTGTGCGTGCGTGCGTGCTGTGCCACCGGTGCGCGTGTGTGTGTGTGCAGTGCCGGTGCCGAGGCGCAGTCGTTGATGTGTAACGTGTGGTTTACTTGAAGCAGATTCTCGAGAATGGGAATCGCAACAAGAACAATGGCTTTTAACTTGGCCTAAATCAAAAACAGTAGTGCACGTGCAATCTATTCGCTAACTCTCAGCTGTGTGGGTTCTTTGCGACAATTCATTTCTGCGCACGAGTTAAAGCAAGTGCGTACATACCCAGGTGTTGTTTTCGATCTTTGATTTGAGTTACGATATCGATGTATGATTTTATGATTAGACTAGCTGATGGGTCTGACCCCATTGTCAGAAAATTCGATTCCTGATTCATCAGAAAGGTTTCAGGCATGACAGTCCACTGAATTGAATGATGCAAGGACAGTTTGATTGACATCTTAATAGACATTGAAGTTCTGCTACTATAATAAGATACTGCAGAGAATTTTGAAAAAGCTTTTTAATATTTTGGAACTTATTTAACAGTCAGGGTATTGGTTCCTTCTTTGTTTGTTGTCGTAATCCTAGCCGATTATGTTATTGTGATTATTTGCCAAAAACCACATTACCCATGTTTAGGATAAACAAGATAATTATTTAATAAAATGTACAAACGGACCACCTTGAAAATCCGATTTGGCCACCTGAATCTATACTCAAGTGGCACCGGCCGGCACCAAGAAAAATAAAGTTAAGGGCACTCCTGTAAACTGCCCCAGCAGTTTTTATCATTTTTAGCTGTTATCTCAAGTAAACAAGGTTTAGGGTTAAGAGTTGGCATTAGGGTTAGGGTATCGGGTTGGGTTAGAGTTAGGGTTTTTGTTAGGGTTAGGCGTTAGAGTTAGGGTTAGGAACTGCCGGGCATTTAGGAAACGAAAGACCGGTGCCACGCTGCCGGCATAATAGCCACAGCGAATAAAAACATCTTATGGGTTTTCGAAACATGGTGCCTTACTATCAGTATCACGAAGCGCGAAAGCCTTACCGCTGAACCACTACAGACTACTTAAAAGTAGTTGATATAGCACCCTAACCCTAATCCTAAACCCTAACCTATCCCTCATTCTAAATAAAATAAAATTAGCCAAAAATAAAAAATAATAAAATGCAATAAGTGACAAAATTACGCCCCAATCAAGAAAGAGAGCGGTTGTTTAGTTTTCAGGACTTCAAAAACCAGATCGGGTTGTTTGCAGACCACTTCCTTTTGATTTAATTCGCAGTGCTATGCGCTCCGAACAAAGCCGCACCAGGCTAACGCCGTCGGACATCCACGTCAGATCACGTGATCCGTCGCGACTCCGCTACATGCATGATTTGCGCAAACGGGACGCTCTGCTGCCATCTTCCTCTTCATCCGTACCTTCTGCGCTCCTCTCCGCTCCTCTCTTCTCTACTTCCTCTCGTCTCGTCTCTGTCTCTGTTCTGTCTTGTCTCTGTCTCTGCCTCTGTCTTCTTGTCTCTGTCTGCTGTCTCTGTCTTCTGTCTCTTGCTCTCGTCGTCTCTGCTCTCTGTCTCCTCTACTCTCACACCCACTTCTCTGAGGCTCTCTCTCTCGTCCTCCTCTCTCCCTTCTCTCTCTCTCTCTCCGCGCTCATCCCTCTCTCTCCTTCTCTGCTCCCTCCGTCTACTCTCCGGTCCGTCATCTCCTCTCTCTCTACTCGTCTCTCCCTCTCCTCTCTCTCTATTCTCTCTCTCTCTCGCACTGTAATGACACAATGACCTCGAATTAAGATGTGGTGTTGACTGAATGAGCAGCATTCAGTTCGAATCCCTTCTATCTAGCCAGAGCCAGTTATTAGCCTGTGCTTTAGTTTTCCCGTAGCCATCACCTCTTTCCAAATTATGTTTGATATACTTAGGACAGCGTAGGACTAGGAGTGAAGAGAACCAAACAATGTTTTCACTCCTGGTATAGTTTAATGCACATATGCCCAATAAAAATTATTTATTATTAATATCATATTACATCAGAAATGATTATTATTGTTATTATTTCATCGCAGACCCATCACTCATGCACAGTCGGTCGTGTGTAAGGATGTGGCGGAGACTCCGGTATCGACGCCCGTCGCATCCCCAGAGCAGCAGCGCAAGTTTGATCTCCTGTCACAATGTGAGCAGTTTACGAGTTTGCCTTCGACGCAGAACAATGGGAAGGATGACGCTGACACGACGCAGGCACCGGTAGCGGGAATACGCAGGGACAACCACGTTAAGGGTAATTAGTGAGAAATTAAGACAAAGATTGTGAAGCAAAATTTGAGAAATGTGATGTACTGTATATCACTTATTTTTGTGTGTCTCTCTCTCTCTCTCTCTCCCTCTCTCCCTCCCTCCCTCCTTTCCTTCAACTTTCTCTTCCTCCCCCCTCTCTCTTGCCCCTCTGTCATTCTTTCTGTCCTCTATTCCCCTCTGTCTTCCTTACTCCTTTCCTTCCCTCTTTCCCACGCTCTGCTTTTTTCCCCACTCCCTCTCATTTCTCCCTAGCTGTCTACCCCCTTTCTCTCCCTCTTTTTCTTTTTCCCATCTCTCTGCCTCGGTGTGTGTTTGACTATTCTTCCTCTGCTGCATAGATTTCACGTGGAAGCCACGCTACTCGTATCAGCTGTCCAGCAAGGATGACCACCGCGATGCCACCTACGACTTGGACGACAGTGGCATATGGTTCTCCGCTCGCAGCTCTAGTGACGAGTGTCTAAATGATGAGAAGGTGGCGCCCCCGCCTGCACCGACCCCGCCGAAATCAACGAAGTGAGTTAAGGGGAAGGTGGAGCATCTCGTGTAGGGACAGTGATTTTCCGCGATCGCGGAAAACGGATGGAAAACACGGAAGCGGCCATTGGAAACGGAAAAGATGTTTTCAAACGGAAAAACGCGGAAAACGTAATTTGAACATATTACAACATGGAAATTTCAATAAATCCCGTTGACAATAGCATTGGTAATGATATGGTTTACATTCAGACAAGTTTCAGAGCGAAATGACTTACAATTACGACTTTTGGTAGCCCTGTGTTTCGGTGCCAACCCAACTGTCAGTCAGTGGCCTAACCTTTTTTTTCATGCAAATATATGTAAACGGAATTTTGCATTTTTGGTGTGTACAATCTCTATGGCAAAACGGAATTTCCATTTTTTCTTTACTTTGAAACGGAATTCATGATTTTCCCAAACAGAAAAGGCAATTTTTTGAAACGGAAAATCACTGTCCCTACCCGACCCAGGCTGAAAAGTTCGGGTAGGTATAGGTCGGCTTCTTTTTCTTTGAGGGGGTGGGGTCTTTTTTGCAAATTCAGCATGGTGTCTACATGCTCGGGTGTGCTTGTGTGGAGATACCTTTTATGTTGAATGCTTGTTTTGCTTGGTACATATAATGGGTACAAAAAAAAGAATGGGACAGATCAATAAAAATTGTTGAGTCGGCCCCTTTTTGGCGGGTCGGTCGGGTGAGGGTAAACAAACTATATTTTTATTATGGCCCAGGGTGGGTCACGTTTCCGTGTGTCTACAGAGAGAATGTGTAGGAAGTAGAGCCTTTGTAATGATGTAGTACTCTTCCTCTCTGTCTGCATTACCGATATAGCTCATAAAGTTCAGCGCTGTAAAAGTACACTTATAGTACTTAGTACTTTAGTACTTAGTTAGTAGGGTACACTTATTGTTTGGAATTGGTGTCTGTTGGTTTGGGATATTTACAATATTTGTATAATTTTGATTGATAATGTTAGATTCTGAGTTGTCATCACAATATATTAGATCAGGGTGCGAAATTAACGCGAGTTGGGAGTCAAATACTCCCTGATTTGACATAGATGCAGGAGTCCGTGTGACTCCCTGAATATTCTGCTATACTAACTAGTTCGTTCCAGAGCACGGCCTCTCGGAATTACCGTATTTTTAGCTCATTTGACGTAGTCGGATGCAGCTTGTAGAATCGCATGATCGTCCGTCCGTCCGTCCGTCAACAGTTGGGAACAAATCTTAACCGCTCGACGTACGGTCACGATATCCGGGACGTGGAGGGGTAATCCGAAAACGAGTTGGGATGTTGAAGCTGGGGGTCAAAGGTCAAAGGTCAAGAGGTGTAAAAGAAAGGGGAACATTCCCTCCTTAACTTAAGGTATAGGGAGGAAATGCAGAATTGCGGCACAAATCTAAACGGCTCAACCTAGGCTCGTAATAGTCGGTGTATAGCATCATGGTAGGAAAAGCCATCACTGTGCCGAAATTGGAGGTCACAGGTCAAAGGTCAATGGGGCAGAGGGCAGATTTTAGACATTTTCTGAGGACATGGTGTGACGGAGCGATTGAAAAACTTTTTTGTTTCAACGGTGACCTACCATTTTTATGGCTTTATTGAAAGGACCATGAAATGTGCTTTCCACTGACGTGCGAAGAGTAAGTGTCTGATAACCTTTTGTCCCTCAAGAGGAGGGTTAAACATGGATTTGTTTACTGTTAGAAAGAATTTGACTGCCGGGGGTGCTAGTAGAATCTATACATGCCTGGATGTATGAGGCGGCAATGTCACAGTGAAATTTCAAAAGCTAAATTTGCTTGAAGAAGGTTTATGCTCCTTAAATCGTATAATTTCTATGGCATTCTGTACTGTCAGTGTGTTACATGTAACTTAATTATGCCACTGCCAGTGCATGTGGTGGTGATAGTATGGTGTAGTTTTTGCCTGCGTTAATTAGTTACAGGTGGCAGCTCTCTATTGCAGCCTATAGGCTTGCGTAGGTAAATGGATGAGTGCTTACCTATTCTGTCTTGCAAATAGTTGTTGCTATACTACGTACGATGGAAGCTTCCAGCTTCCATCTTTAATCTTAAGACATTCAAACGTACGCGCCATCTCGTGGCAACTTTCATAACGATCCCAACGCACATTTCTTTGAGAAGGTTCCTGATACCATCCCAGTGTTCGAAATAAGGGCTATCCGTTTGTCCGTACTTGTCCATTTCCACGGAGGAAAGCGAACATAATTAAAGCAAAATAATCTTTTTCTTTAACTTTGAAACCGGAATTCATGATTTTCCCAACAGAAAAAGGCAATTTTTTGAAACGGAAAATCACTGTCCCTACCCGACCAGGCTGAAAAGTTCGGGTAGGTATGGTCGGCTTCTTTTCTTTGAGGGGTGGGTCTTTTGGCAAATTCAACCATGGTGTCTACATGCTGCGGCGTGTGCTTGTGTGAGATACCTTTTTATGTTGAATGCTTGTTTTGCTTGGTACATATAATGGGTACAAAAAAGAATGGTACAGATCAATAAAATTTTTTGAGTCGGCCCTTTTTGGCGGGTCGGTCGGGTGAGGGTAAACAAACTATATTTTTTATTATGGCCCAGGGTGGTCACGTTTCCGTGTGTTCTACAGAGAGAAATGTGTAGGAAGTAAGAGGCTTTGTAATGATGTAGTACTCTTCCTCTCTGTCTGCATTAGCTGATATAGCTCATAAAGTTCAGCGGCTGTAAAAAGTACACTTATAGTACTTAGTACTTTAGTACTTAGTTAGTAGGGTAGCACTTATTGTTTGGAATTGGTGTCTGTTGGTTTGGGATATTTACAATATTTGTATAATTTTGATTGATATGTTAGATTCTGAGTTGTCCATCACAATATATTAGATCAGGGTGCGAAATTAACGCGAGTTGGGAGTCAAATACTCCCTGATTTGACATAGATGCAGGAGTCCGTGTGCTCCCTGAATATTCTGGCTATACTAATAGATTCGTTCCAGAGCGGGCCTCTCGGAATTACCGTATTTTTAGCTGCATTGACGTAGCGATGCAGGCTTTATGAACAAAAAAAGGCAAATGTCCGCGTCTCGCAAAAAAAATCTGGGCACGAATCGTTAACGCGCGATCGCTACGTCACGGTTGCACAGATATCTCCGTGCGACGTGGCAGGACCGGACGGGGTATCCGAAAACCGAAGTTTGGATGTTGAAGCTGGGGTCAAGGTCAATAGTCAAGAGTGTAAAAGAAAGGGGAACATTCTCCTTACTTAAGGTATCGAGGAGGAAATGCAGATTGCGGCAGGCAAATTCTAAACGCTCACACCTAGGCTGCGTAATTAGTCGGTGTATAGCATCATGGTACGAAAACATCAGCGTGTGCCAAAATTGGAGGTCAACAAGGTCAAGTCCATTTGGGCACAGGGCAGATTTTAGACATTTTCTGAGGACATGGTCTGACGGAGCGATTGAAAAACTTTTTTGTTTCAGCGGTGACCGTAGTATTTTTATGGCTTTATTGAAAGGAGCCATGAAATGTACTTTTCTGCTGACATGCGAAGAGTAAGTGTCGGGATAGACCTTTTGACCCTCAAGAGGCGGGTTAAACATGGATGTGTTTACTGTTAGAAAGAATTTGAGCTGCGCGGGTTTTGCTAGTAAAATCTATACATGCTTGGATGTATGAGGCTACAATGTCAGCTGTGAAATTTCAAAAGCTAATTTGGTTGAAGAGGTTTATGCTCCTTAAATCGATATATTTCTTATGGCATTCTGTACTGTCAGTGTTGTTTACATGTAACTTAATTATGCCACTGCCATGGCCACTGCCAGTGGCATGTGGTGGGTGATAGTAGCGTGTAGTTTTTTCCTGGCGTTAATTAGTTACAGGTGGCAGCTCTCTAATTTCAGCCTGTAGCTTGCGTAGGTAAATGGATGAGTGCTTACCTATTCTGTCTTGCAATAGTTGTTTTGCTATACTCACGTAGGAGTGGGAGCTTCCATCTTTAATCTTAGAGACACTCAACGTACGCGCCATCTCGTGGAACTTTCATAACGATCCCAACGAACATTCCTTTGAGAAGGTTCCTGATACGCAATCCCAGTGTTTGAAATAAGGGCTATCTGTTTGTCCGTACTTGTCCATTTCACGGAGGACAAGTAGATCTGTCGGTAGCTTGTCCGCCGACAAGCAGCTTTTTTAGAGCAATTTTTCATAATTTTCTACATCTCGCTGGCCGTTGGCTGGGAAACCCAAGCTTAACATAGTATAAACATGGGCTGCCGGAGTGCCAGCCCGCGAATTAACATATAGTATAAACATTTATGTGAAGTTATATTAAAACGTTACCGCGCCTTGCTAGCTCAATCGAAATGGTCTTGCTAGGGGTTAGAAGACGATCAGACAATCAGTCTGATAGACAATCAGACACACCCCCCCACCCCCCCGCCCCCCCCCCTGTATAGAACAATCAGTCGCACAGCCTCGGTGCCGGCAGCGCTACTGGCCTCGAGAAAGAGAGAAATCTACAGTGAGTTGTACGCGAACTCGTATCTGCATATCTTGCGCCTAACAAATGTGTCATTAACGCACGGCCTTAAATGTTAGCGTTATAGACGCGTAAGGCAACAGACCCAGATGAGCCCAGACTGCTCTGCGGCTCTTGTTTCAGCAAATGTCCAAAGACAATTTGGCAGACATGCAACCGCATGAATTTAAAAATAAGCACATGCTTTATTGTTAATGATTCTTTATTTCTGACTTTTCCAAAGACCGCGCGACTTCAGACTGCAGACTCCTCATGTTTGCTGGCGGACGCACCTCTTTTTGAGGGGCAGGGAGTCGCGTTGGACTCTCCTTGTTCAAACAGTTGCTTTCTAACCCTGTTAGATGATGAAAGAACTTCTCACTCTCACTCGTGAGTTTGCAGGCCTGACTCATGAAGAGAGAGTCTTGCGCCGGAACAGTGGTCAGCAAGAAGTGCACAGGAGGAAACGAACATCATCGTCATGCCGCGTAGAGGTTCTCAGAAGCGGCAAGCCTCCCCGAAGATCGACCACCACTCGTGGCACTCTTCAAGGAATCGACGGAGCATTTCGAACTCAGGCAGCAAGTCGCTGTCACGAGATTCAAGCCAATCGCATCACGCCTGTCGCCGCGTCAGCCTCCGAAGAACCGCAGCTCACCGCCTGAGCCTCCCGCAAGAGTGGTAGTGCCATCTGGATCAGGTGGCGGGAAAGTGCGCGCCGCGTGGGTGGCGAGGCGTTTTTCTGTGCTGAGTTTCATTCAGGTCTGCAGTGATACTAGTCTAGCTTCGCGAAGCAGTGTATGTGTGTTGGATATTGGAATTGGACCGGTCGCCTGTTCTGGCATGAAGCGAACCGTACGGTAGCATTGTTAACATAGTAAATTAGGAACATTCGGCTTAGGACTGCTTCGCAGAAGATCCCCGCCCCCCCCCTTTTTGGCACTCAGTTAGGCACCCTCTTTACGTTAGCATCGCTTGGCCTGATCTTCTCTGACCTTGCATCGATCTTGCTCTCCTATTTGTCTCCACCAATCTCCGCATATACTCCCCTGACTGCTGCGCGATGGGTGTAACCGAATGTTGTAGGTGGTCTCACGTGTAGGTCGGTCGGAGTTAGTCGTCCGGTCGCGATGTAGGTGGTCGTCGAGTGTAGGTGGTCCGTCAAGTGTAAGGTGTCGTCGGAGTGTAGGTGTCGTTCGTGTGGTCGTCAAGTGTCAGGTGGTCCGTCAAGTATGTAGGTGGTCGTCCGATGTAGTGTCCGTGCGAGTGC